TTTCAAACAGAAACAAAGATCAGTACAATGAACCCCCATGTTCCCATAACCTAGCTTCAAAAAATATCAACTAATGGCTAATCTTGTTTTTCTATTATTTTTCAAATACCTTCACCCATATAAAAACAGTCTTAATTGTCCATCAGTTTTCTCCCTCCTTTTCTTCCTCTCCCATCCCTGGTAACCAACAAAGAAAATCTCCTTGCCTGTGTAAATCTTTCTTGACATTTTACAATAATGGGCTCATACAGTATTTGTCCTTCTGTGATTGACTTATTTCACTCAGCATATCCTCCAAATTCATCCATGTTAAGAGGTGATTTGCTGATTCCTCATTATTTTTTAATGTTGCATAGTATCCATTGTGTGAATGTATGATAGTTTGGTTATCCATTAATCTGTTGATGGGCACTTAGGTTGTTTCCATGTCTTTGCTATTGTAAGTAGTGCTTCAGTGAACATAGGTGTGCATATATCTATTTGTGTCTCAGGTCTCATCTCTTTATGATACATTCCTAGTAATGGGGTTGCTGGATCAAATGGTATTTCTATTTCCAACTTTTTAAGGAAGCACCATATTTTTCCATAGTGTCGGACCATTTTGTAGTCCCACCAGCAGTGTTCGAGAGTTCCAATCTTTCCACACCCATGCCAGCATTTGTTGTTTTCTGTCCTGTTGAACTTTGCTATTATTGCTGGAATGAAATGGTATCTCATTGTTGTTTTGATTTGCATCTCTCTAATGGTTAATGATTGCAAGCATTTCTTCATGTGTTTGTTGGCTGCCTGAATATCTTCTTTGATGAAGTGTCTGTTCACATCCTTTCCCCATTTTTGAATTGGATTGTCTTTTTAATGTTGAGTGGTTGAAGTTTTCCATAAACTTTAGAGATAAGTCCCTTGTCAGACATGTCATTGCCAAATATTTTTTTTTTCCCCAGTGTTTAGGTTCTCTTTTTACTCTTTTGGAGAAGTCTTTTGATGCTTGTAAAAATTTAGTTTTTACCAGGTCCCAATCATCTATCTAGTTTCTCATCTGCTGTTTGTACATTTTGAGTTCTGCTTGATAGTCTATTTATACCACAAATTAGGGTCCCTAAGTTTGCCCCTATTTTATCTTTGATGAACTTTATAGTTTTAGCTTTTATGTTTGGGTCTTTGATCTATCTTGAGTTTGTTTTTGTATATGGTGTGAGTTATGGACCTTCTTTCATTTTTTTTCTGCAAATGGATATCCACTTTTGCCAGCACCATTTGTTGAAGAGACTATCTCTTCCCCATTTAATGGGTTATTCTTATTATTCTTTTGATATCCACAGGGTCTTTAATGATAGCTCTTGTTTCATCTTGATATTGGTAATTTGTGTCTCTTCTCTTTTTGTCAGTCTTATTTGAGTTTGTCAATTTTATCGAATGTTTCAAAGAAACAGCTGTTTATTTTATTTATGTTCTCTATTGCTTTTCAATCTTCAATTTCATTTACTTCTGCTCTTTATTATTTCCTTCCTTCTGTTTCCTTTGGATATATTTTTCTCTTCTTTTACTAGGTTCTTGAGGTGGGAGTTTAGATTACTCAATTGACAATTTTTCCTCTTTTCTAGTTATGTATTTACTGTTAAAAATATTCTTCTCTGCACTATTTTAGTGTGTCTCATTAATTTTGATGTATTTTCATTTTCATTCAGTTCAATGTATATCTTGATTTCTTTCTGACCCCTGGATTATTTTATTTTCTAAATGTTTGCAGATTTTCCTGTTACCTTTCAGTTATTTTCTGTTATTTGGTTTGATTCCATTGTGGGTAGAGACCATACTCCCTATGGTTTCAATTCTTTTTAAATTTCTGAGGTTTGTTTAATGGCCAAGGGAGGATGTGGTCTACATCAGGCCTCAAGGTGCCTAGCTATATGCTTCTTTCTACTTTTCCGAGTTTTCTTATTTAGTTTTATATATAATGATCAGGGTTTTTAGCTGTAATTAATAGGAGAAATAGTGAGAAGTATGTATATTCCTACTTCTAAGAAGTAGAAGGCCCTGCCCTAATGGTATTTTAGAACACATAATTTAAATTCTGTCTTAGTCCTCTAGTGCTGCTATAACAGACATACCACAGTGGATGGCATTAATAAACAGGAATTTATTCTCTTATAGTTTAGGGGGCTAGAATTCTAAATTCTGAGTGCTGGCTCTAGGGGCTGGGTAAAGGCCCCTTGACCTTGGGCTTCAGTTCTGCCTCTTATTCCAGGACCACTGTAGCTACAGGTATCTCCTAACTCAGGCAGCTGCTGGCTGCTGAGGCTGACAAACCCATGGTCGGCTGGTAAAATGGCACAGTCCCAAGATCAGTAGGTAATACAGCAGGCTATTAAAGCCACTAGCTCAAGTCAGCCACTAGCTCAAGTCATGGAACAATCCCAAGATTGGCATGCAACATAGCAGGCCATGGGTTATGAAGACTTGGCCAAATGCAGGATCAAAATGTGCCAAAAGCTAGAGAACTTTCTCAAAGCTTCTCCTTATATACTGGAAGTAGGCCATACCCTGAAGGCAACTACTTAGCTGCTCACAGCAGATCCCACCATGGAATTGATTACATCATACCCAATGTCATCATGGGGAATAACTGCATCCAGCTGCCAAGCTACTCAAAGTCATGGCCCAGCCAAGTTGACACACAACCTTAACTACCACAATTTATATACAGTTTATTATCTAGCTCTAAGACATACATGACCAGGCATTATTATCCATTTATGCCTAATGGATACTATGTCTGAACTGCCCAATAGTTGTACATGGTAGGTATTATTGTTTATTTTTTGTAGATGAAGAAACAGAGGTTCAATGAGGTCAAAAAAGTACATAGTCATACAGTTATTGAATGATTGGGCCTAGATTTAAAAGCAGGCCCTCTGAGTATTTCTCCACGTGGATACTTTGCACATGGAAGGTACTTAGGTATGTTGGAGAATTAAAATTCTCACATATTGGGCATGTGAAGTCCTACAATTATACCTATTAGCAATAGTGGTCTTAATTGGCCTGGTGGTCTGAGGCACAGAACATATTAGTCCACATCTGCCCCACGCAACCTTGCAGCTAAGAGAATCACATTGACATGTATTTGCTAAATTAGTGAGCACTCCAGGTTGAATATATCACCTTCATTCCAGTTTCCTAGGTCTTTCTCAAGTTTAAAAAAGACTCAGTATTCTTTTGATGCTCAATATAATGATTTTGAAGCCTTTTGTCATGAGCTGTTAGTGAGTTTCAAAATTTTCTCTGATATTTTCTTTCCTATATATATCATCCACCATCTGTTGCTTATTGTAGTGTATTTCTAATGAATGTATTATTGGTGTTGGGAGAGATACCTGAATTTCAAGTCACAAGGGCTCAGTGCTAGTCCATCAAAAATGCTCAATTTAAGAGCCAGCAGAGATTCAAGTGTGATTAAGTCAATGAGGAAGAATGGGGCTGGACAGAGATGGAAAAGCAGTTCTACTCTGCACACATGGAGTTGCGATGATTTGGACTCTTCTTGATGGCAACTAAGAACAACACATATATATGAATCTATTACAGTTGAACATATGCAATTCTGATATATTGTGCATAGAGTACATAAATAAAAATGCAACCACACTGAATACAATTTTTCCACCCTAAATTTCAGTCATATCTTTTAAGAATTATGGCTAGCTTAATAGCTATACACTGCATATAGAGAAAGGAGACCCTGGCTGTGCAAACAGGTAATGAAAATTTCAGTGGTTTGACACTACTCAGTGGTGTGTAGGAAGAAAAGCCTGGTGATCTACTTCTAAAAAATCAGCCACTGAAAACACTACAGAGTGCGGTTCTACTGTCACACACATGGGGTCACCATGAGTCAGAATTGAATCAATGGTAACTGGTTATTTGGTGTAAAAAGAAAAGCATTAAAGGTCCAAAACCATACAAGAAATGTAGCAGAAAAATAGCCTTTCTATTAATTAATACATAGACTTAGTCTTCTCTGAAGATTCAAGGAAAATGGAACTAGCTGCCATTATTACAACCAATCCTTGAGCAAGAGGTAGGATTTAAAGAAAACTTACTGTAAGTCTCCCATTCTCAAGAAATAAGTCCAATAATGATTAACAGAGAACTCTCCATTCCTTTTACTAGGGCAGAAAAGCAGAGGTACAAAAAATCTAAAATTCTGGAAAAGAGTTTAGAATGTACATATAGTTTTAGGGTACATCCCCTTTCCATCTGCCCAATCTCATCCCCATTCTAGAACCTCAAGACAAGAAGTAAAAGCCCTCCAATGGGAAGACGTGCTTAGTCATCACCCTGGTCATCATGCCCCACTGCAAATCTCCCCTGCACAAGCTGTGTAGGGGCAAACTTGACGACTTTGCAGACATATGCAATGCAGTGTACTGAACATGATCTCAAGTGATGCAGCAACATGGATTACAGAAACTGCTTTGGAAGGCATGGCCATGGCATGGAGCAATCGGGGGCTCTCACCAGTTCTGGGTGAGGGTGCAGCCATGGAACGAGGTCTGGGGTTGTTCATGCAGCATGTCACTGCTGGGACCCACACTCTCTGTGTGGGAGGGGTGCTCTACTTTCTTTCTTTCTATTCCAGATTGGCCATAATGCCACAAGGAGTTAGAAGCCCTAATGCTAAACTTTTGGCAGGCCTATTGACCCTTCCTATTAATACAGATCCCGGTAGGCATTTGGAAAGCGTCTAACAAAAATGGTCCTCTCCAGGACTGCAGACAGAGTCAACGGCATGCTGCTGAACCCCCAGTGGGCTTCATAAATGTATTCCTACACCTCTCCTTACAAGTCCCATCCTCACCAAGGCTTAGAGATCTGATGAAAATTGAAATATTTCTGCTTAAGAGGACACATTTGTAAAGATGGCAGCTATGTACAATGGTACCCAAACCCAAGTAAGTTGTCATTTCTTACAACATATCAGAGGTGGGTGAATTTCTTACCATGTTCTCCTTTGTATAGAGTGGCTGGACTGCTTGTCTGTGGCTCCGAGGGGTTGTACTGAGGATAGTGGGGAGGGGTCTTCACTGAAAAAAAAAGCATAACAAATGACCTGTTGTAATGTGCTTCCTTAAAGGTGGGAGATTATTGGCTTAGTGTTTAGCTTGTTATACTTTTTTCTTACCATATGGTGTTTCTGGTGACACCGGAAATGCTGGTGTTGAAGAGGCTGGCTCACTGCCATTTTTGGCTGGAGAGAAGATCCTGCCATCGATCACATCAATATCTGAAGGGTAACTGGTGATCACTGTCTGATATTGGGACAAGGTAGAAAAATTTAAGTAGGGACTATCAGAAGGATGTCACCTCCAAACAGCTGTGGGTTCCCCTAGACTGGCCCCTGAGCCAAGCCCTTGTCTAAGAGTGGTGATGAAAAGCCAACTTCTAGACATGCAACCCCAGAAATGAGACTCTGCTCCAGCCATGGAAAATTGGGGAAAAAATTAAATGTTCAACAGTTGTTTTTATTTACTGTTAGTTGATTTTGACTCATGGCAACCTCATTGTTACCGAGTACTACTGCTCCATAGGGTTTTATTGGCTATAATCTTTACAGAAGCAGATCACTTGCCTTTTCTCCAGTACCCCTGGATGGATTTGAACCACCACCCTTTAGGTTGGTAGTTGATAGCAAGCTGTTTGTACTACCTAGGGACATTAGTGTTCAATAGAAAGGAATATATACATATTTCATATATTCTTTTAGTAAAATATTATATAGCTAATAAATGAAGTTTATAGAGAGTCTTTAACAGTAAGGAAAAATGGGCATTACAGCATAAAATGAAAATAGTAGGATAAAGTAATTTTTACCACGGTATGTTCACAGGTACATAAAAATATGTACTCAATTAAAAACACAGATATAGAAAAAGGACTGGAAAGAAATATTCCAAAACATTTACCCTTTTTTTTTTTTTTTTCCTCTTTTTTTTGGTGTGTGTGTGTGTCAAAACTATAAGTGACTTTCTTTTCATATCTATTCTGTGAGCTCTAACTTGTTCAACCTGTCTTATTTAAATTCTGTGAAAACCTCAACTACCCAGAAGAGCACACCTTTCTTCTGTTGATCTTATGCAGAGTAACAAACACACTCTGACATGCACTTTTCCTGCATCCTTCCCTGGGCTCCATGAAGGACTTGGATAAAGGACTTGGAACGCCAGGTGATGACCTCAAAGAGTCTCTGTTTGTCCATGCTATTCGGTCTACTCACTGAGCTCCAACCAAGGTCAGGCCTTTGCTTTTATTATCTGTAATATGATAACATTTTATATGATTTGCACTAGTATCCCCATTCAATGGAGAAGAATAGAGGCTCATGTGACCTGAGTATTTGGCCCCCATGCCACAGCTATCTTTGGGGTACAGAACAGGAAGGAAAATGATGGTAGATTCATTAAACTTCCAGACTCAGCATTGTCCCATTCACTCTGAGGTCTGCAACATGAACATCATTGGGATCTGGGAAGTGGCTAACTCAGATTCTCAAGGCCCTGATATCTACCTCTTTGGTGTCCACTGAAGCAAGGAAAGATTTCAGACTTGGATCTTGGTCCATAGTGGTGGTCTTTCCCCAGCTGCATTTGGGGAAGGACGACTGCCCACCAGCATCATTATCATACTGCCCAAGGCTCAGCTTCCGCAGTCTTCCACCCAGGGGGTCATCCCCTACAGAACATATCAGAAGAGAGAACAAACTGGCTTCAGTTGACCTTGAAAACACATAATTAAAACCTGATGTTCTAGTAAACCCTTCATAGGTTACTGGGAGACAGAGTGTCTGGTCTACACAGATGTGTACTTCCAGTTGGGATGGCAGCCAGGAGTGGGAGGCAACAGTGCAGCAGCCCAGAAACCTACACTCCTACAGGCTCCACCTCACAGAACAGCTTCTGGAGGACAGGACTCCATATCCTAGCCCTGGGAAAGGGTGTGTGGGAGGGTGACCACATCGCCAATGAACACTAGGGAGAGCCTCAGTGTCTCCCAGTCTGAGTGTATGAGCCCATTTGCCCTGAGGCTGAGGCTGGAGCATCTCCATGACCACACATTCCACAGTGACTTATGCATAGCTCAGTGACACTCCATCAGGATCATCAGACTCATAGCAATGAGAAATCCTAGGGAAGAAAATGCTTTAATCCAAGCACCACTGATCACCTATCCTGAACTTCCCTATGTAAGAATGCCTCAGGCTCCACCCCTATAGAGCAAATCAAATTCCTTGTTTTGATAGGGGTAGGAAATGGGGAGCAGGGCTGGAACCTGTATTTTTTAACCCCTTCCAGGAAATCCTCCAAGTTCCAGGGCACCATATGTCCTAGTGTGGATTTCTGGTGGCCCAGCCCTGTATTCCACACAGGAGGAACCTACAGTGTGCACAGGTGAGAAAGTGTGTTCAATGCCACATAGTAGGAAACAGAGCTAGCTAAGATCCAAACTCAGGTCTCTTTGGGAGGCTCATGTTCCCTTGCAAATAATTCTGTATCTATCAGCTCTCAGATGCACACCCAGGGGGTGGGTTGGAGGCAGGGGTGAGATAGAACAGTACCAGCATTTCATAGCATATGAAAAGTCATGGCATTCAGAGACTCATGCCCAGCCCTCAACAGCTGCATGAGAGCCTTAAGCTTCTGTTTTCTCATGCATAAAATCAATGCAATACCTTCATTTCTCTATCCAGACACTGGGGTGAAGATTAAACAAAATCATATATCTGAAAATCCTGCTAACAATAACTCTTACACTCCCTCCACCACAGAATGAGTACTGTAGGCTGAGAGAGTGGCCCCACTCCAACCCCATGACTATCACAGAACTGCCACTCATGCATGTGCAGCTATCAGTGAGGAAGTATGGATTTCTCCCAAAAAGACATGTCCATGTCCTAATCTCTGGTACCTGTGAATGTAGTCTTGTTCAGAAATAGGGTTTTTGCAGATGCAATTAGTTAAGTTAACATAAGGTCATATTGGAATTGGGTGGACCCTGCTCCAATATGGCTAGTGTCCTTACAAAAGAGAAGAGACACAGACAGGCAGTCACAGAGGGAAGATGGTCATGTGAAGATGGAAGTAGAGATTAGGAAGATAGTGCTGCAAGCCAAGAAACGCCTGGTGCCACCAGACACTGGAAGGGACAAGGAAGGATTTGTTCTCAGTAGCTTTCAAAGAGAGCATGGCTCTGCTGACACCCTGAATTCAGAATTCTGGCCTCCAGAAATATGAAAGAATCAATTTCTGTTGCTTGAAACCACTCAGATTTTGGTACTTTGTTATGGTGGCCCTAAGAGACAGCTGTGTGAGGTATAGGGTTGTGTGAGGCCATAAAAGAAGGCTGTTGGCTTCCTTTCAGCAAAGTGCCACAATCACAGCAGAGAGCTTCAGAAGATAAGTAGGGGGAGAAACCTCATGTAGGTGACAGTGATGGAAAAGAGGAGGGGTGTGACCTTGGGTAAGTTATAGTGCACCTGATTTCTACTCTGAAAAATGGAGTTTGTCACCTGCCTGACAGGTGGGCTGCTGTGAGAATGAGACAGGCTCACGAGCATTTCAGCATGAGAAATAATCTTACCCAAAAGATCTATCTGTAATCATGAACTGGGTGATTTAGCTGTCTTTTACACGACGTCAACAGTCCATTCATAGCCTGGAAGTTAGAGTTTATATGGTTCCTAAGCCTCCTTGGAGATATGATTTGGGAACAGGAAAGTACATCCCTCCTGTTCACCTGGCAAACTAATAAATGGTGATTTATCTTGAATAACAAAGTGATGTCAGGAAAAGAGGCTGTGCTGCATGAACTCAGCTAGCAGAGCAGTTTCTAGAATGATCTGAGTACAGAACAGCCTGGCGAAAGTACTTCCTGTCCTACAGTTATTTGACCTATGTAGTCAAACAAAGAAAATCAATGAGAGATCCCATTTATAGCATATCCTGGATCCCAGAACTTGAACCTGGTTAATGCTGCCTTTGATTACAGGCCCTTTTACCAGAGGCAAGGTCTCTCCAAGTCCAGTACAGGGGTCAGGCTGGGATTGAGCCAGGCCCACACCAGACCACTAGGGTGAATTCTGCTTCTGCGCTCACCAGAGATATGTCCTCACCAGTGTCTTGTGTATGAAATGAGGACAGTGTATCACAGGCTTGTGTGGGGATTGAATGAGATAACAGAGCAACAATTAGTGCTCTATACACAGTAAGTTTGCAGCAAGTATTAATACGTTAAAAACTGACCAAGAACCCAAAACGAAATATTTATGTAGTAAAATTCATGTTTTATGAGACCTGAAATGGGCAAATATGTTAAAATATTAACTGAAAAAAGCAGCATACAAAAATCTGTACCACATCTTCATACAAATTATATGCACATTACACACTTTTTATTTGCAAACCACACAACCCTCTTGAGCATAATTTTCCTACGTGTGTTATGTGCATGGACATATTATTGACGTGGACACATTATGCACAAAAAAAATATAGTATGAAGCATGACTTATTTTGCTTTAAAACATGAGGAAATAAACTGAAATGTTAATATGGATTCTCTCTGGTTCTCTTGTTGTTAGGTGCCAGCCATCGAGTTGGCTCTGACGCACAGTGACCCTATGCATAATAGAGTGAACCACTGATGTTTGTTGATTGTGGATCCAAGTAATATGAAATCTTTGACAACTTCAATCTTTTCTCCATTTATTGTGCTGCTGCTTATTGGTCCAGTTGTGAGGATTTTTGTTTTCTTTATATTGAGGTGTAATCCATACTGCAGACTGTAGTCTTTGATCTTCATCAGTAAGTGCTCAAGTCATCTTCACTTTCTTTTAGGCACTGTTAATATTTTTGTAAAAGTCTACATTTTCCAAAGTTTTCTATAATAATATTGCTTTAAAAATTAGAAAAAGACAGAGATTATCTTTTTAAATAAAGTTACTTTATATTTTGTAATACTCTTTGCTGCCTATTACTGAATTTTTCCTAAAACCTTCCTCATCTAATTTCCCAGTAGTTTTAGTTTCACATTTAAATCCAACCTCTTGTGCATGATCAATAAACATTTCATTCTTTCTGATAAATCTGCCATGTCTGGTAACCACATCTTCTGCCCATTATATATAATGCTGCCCATTATTGCAGCAACTCTGTCAATCTATCTTGTTAAGGTTCTTCCCCTTCTTTTCTGAACCTGTACTTTACCAAGAAAGATATCCATCTCCAGGGTACGGTACAACTTTCAATTTTCCTAGATTCATACTTAGTACCTTCCACATTCCAATTATTAATGGATGTTTGTAGCTATTTCTCTCCATTTTTAATCATGCCTCATCAGCAGATGAAGGGCCCCAAAGTTTTATTCCATCCACATCATTAATGTAGATTCTACTTTGAGGACACAGCTCTTTATCAAGTCATATTTTGAGAAGGAGCTCTTGTGGCATAGCACCTAAGGCATTTGACTGGTAACCAGAAGGCTGGCAATTCCAACCCACCTTGAAAGGAAGGTTGGGCAATCTACTTCCAAAGTGATACTGCCTCAGAAACCCAAGGAGGGGTTGCTATGAGTCAGATCCAACTAGACAGCAGTGAGTTTGTTTTTTTTTGGTTTGGTTCCATCCTGAGAAGGTACTCTTCTCCCCTTAGGCACTTAGTGGCATAGTGCCTAAGGCATTTGACTGCTAACCAGAAGGTTGACAGTTTAAACCCACCAGCTGCTCTGCAGACAGAAGATGGGGCAGTCTACTTCCTTACAGATTTACTGCCTTGGAAACCGAATGGGAGTTGCTATGAGTTGGACACTGAGTTCGTTTTTTTTTTTTTCAACCTGAGAGACTCACCTTCTGGCACTGTATCAGACACCGTTTCATGGCTATTCATAAAGTGTTCCAGTAATATGTCAGACAGTGTTTCACTGCTCTTTATAAGGTATCAGTGAACAGATTTTTTCAGAAGTGGATGGCCCCGTCCCCCTTCCCAGTCTCTCACTGTCTGGAAGCTCTGCTGAAACCTATCCACCATGGGTGACCCTGCTGGTATTTGAAGTATCAGTTGCATAGCCTCTAGCCTCACAGCAACATGCAAGCCACCAAAGTATGACACACTGACAGATGAGTGGTGGCATAAGGTATATAGAAAATAATATATAAGGTAGCTTTCAGTATCATTATGCTAAAAGATGTATTGTTGTTGTTGTTGTTATGTGCCGTCGAGTCGGCCCCGACTCATATAATGTATATTAATTTATAGGTAGGATTTTGTCTCTAATTTACTTAAAAGCTTATACTCATATATGCTTATATTTATATGAGTACTTACATTTTAATTATAAAAGTATGTTGCTGTTGTGATGTGCCATCAAGTTGTCTCTGACACATGGAGATCCCTCCTTGGGTTTCCGAGGCAGTAGCACTACGGAAGTAGATTGAACAATCTTCCTTCTGAGGAGTGGCTGGTGGGTTTGAACTGCCAACCTTCTGGTTACCAGTCAAGTGCCTTAGGCACTACACTACCAGAGCTCCCATAAAAGTATATGTATTTTAAAATATATGTATATATTTAAATATATAAAAAGTATATATTTTAAATATAAAAGTATATTTAAAAGCTTTTACTTCGTATACTCATATAATTATTAGATAAAGACTGATGATACCAAGGAAGAAGTTACTG